GACGATCTAGCCCTTGGGCTAGGCAGTTCTCCATGCAGTGCATTGAGCCAAACGTCAGGGACCATTGGTGCCAGGAAAGCATCGGATCGTGCAACGCCAACCAGCTCATGCCCAATATGATAGGCGGCCCCGCTAGTGTGGCAACGTGAAAGGCGATGACCTCAGAGTGTGTGGCCACTCGCATTCGCATTGGGGGTGTTCGATGCGTCACTTCACCCCCCAGCAGTTCTCTCCCATCAATTGTTGTCACTTGCAGCGGAAAATCCAAAGGCCTCAGGTTCAGTTGGTGTCGCACCGCAAACTCCTTGCTGAAAAAGGAGGCTGAGGCCCCAGAATCAATTAATGCCAACTCCTCCACCGTCTGTCCATTTGGGAGTTCTAGCACCACCTCCAACATTATGCTTGCTTTGGGGTGTCCAAGCCGGGGACTTTCTGTGCTGCTCCCGCCTGGCTGTTGCCCCGGTTCCCCACCAGCCAGGCCTCTTCGTTTCCCGAATGCTGGGGCTCCTCTCCCTCTGCCTGCTGTGTGGCCCCTACCATTCCCTGCCAGTTACGACGCTCTGGGCACACTCTGGCAAAGTGCCCAGTCTTCTGAACACACAAACACCTTTTTCCCGCTTGCCAGTCTTTTTTTTCCTTCCTGCCAGACCGTTGGGCTTTCGAACTCTCCCGCGCCCTGACTGTGCCTATCTCCATAGGCTCCGGCACTTGTTGACATTCCGAGGCAGCTGCAGGCATCTCAGGAATGCGGTCACCATGGAAACTCTGCTCTCTGCCTTGCTTCCTTTCCTGCCATCTGGCTTCTTGTCTCAAACCCGACCCCAGAGCGGCCTTTGTTAATTCGTCCATATTTTTAGGTCGTGGCCCCCTTGCCAGCTCGTCCTTAATTTCTGGATTAAGTCCATTTTTAAATATTGCTGTTACTGGGTCCGCCTCTAAATCCCACCCCAGTTTCTGTACCAGCCTAGCAAACTCAGACCAGTAACTGCGTACGGTGGATTTGCCTTGTCTCAAAGCCAGCAGCTCCTCCTGCGTTCTGTCAATTAAACTCTGATCTGCATAGATAAAATCCATTGCTTGCCAAAACTTGGCTTCATTTCTGAGGGCTTCATTCCCCGAGGCTATTAACGGCCTTATCCAGCTTCGAGCCCCTCCTCCCAGATGTCTAATGATGTGAGCAACCTTTGCTGCATCGTTCTGAAACTTATCTCCTTCCAGTTCCAGAAAATATTTCATATCTGTTTTGAAATCCAAGTAACTTTACGTGTCTCCCTGGAACCTTTCCACCCACACGCACCTGCCCCCATCTGCCGATAGACCACCTTGGGTTCCTCTCTGAGCAGTACGGGCTTCCTCCAAACGGCTATGCAGGTCTTGGGATCTTTGTTCCAGAGCGACATTTCGCTTTTTCAATTCCAACAGCTCCTTCTCCATGTCGAAGCTGTTCCCTTATTCCACCAGCTTTCCAGCAGAAAAAATAGAGGAGTGGGAGCAAGCTGCCAGAGGCTTAGTGCTGTCCAGCTGGCCATAGATAAGACTTCGGGCTCCCAGCCAGTTCCAAACAATTGATTTATTTGACAAAGTTCAAATGTACATCTCCAGCGTTTCCATTAACCTCCTCCCTCTTGTGCGCAGTTGCTCCCACTAAAGTTATTTCCTTCCTTTTTTTACCCAGCATGCAAACCTGCGAAGACTCCTCCCTTACTTCCTCTGTGTACAGCATGACTTGTCCCAGGCTCACACTCCTCCTCCCCCTCTTCTTCAGACTGACTCTCTGACGACTGGCTGCTGATAATCTCTCTATGCTCCCTATAACTGCTGATTTCTGTCCTTTCCTCTTTTCCCGTTTGCCTCTCCCTGACATTAATAATAAAGTTTCAAATCCAGCAGGGAAAACCTCCTCTCTCTCTTACATCTGTTAATAATTTACTTTTTATACTTGGTTTCTTCCCTTTCCAGATAAACCTAGATATATCTCCTTGCCATTTTTCAAAGCATCCTGTGTTGCCTATTGCCAGGACTGATTGGAATAAAAATAACATTTTTGGCAATACATTCATTTTTATTACCGATATTCTTCCCCAAAATGATAAATCCATTCTTCCCCATATCTCTAAAGCTCTTTTTATTTCTTTCCACTCATTCTTGTAATTGTCTTTAAAACTATTAATATTCTTAGCTGTCAGACAAATCTCTCAGAATTTGACTTTGTTATGTATAACTAACTCTGTTTTCTGTTGTAATTCCTTTTGGCCTTGCTCCATTGTGCTTTTTACCAAAAACGTAGTCTTATTCTTGTTTAGTTTAAAGCCTCCGGCCTGCCCGAAGTCCTGTATCTATTTTTACTACCTTTGGTGGAGTATTTATGGGATCCTTTACTGTAATTACAAGGTGAACTATAGAAGCTTTTAATTTATATGCTTTATTTTCTACTGTTGTTCCTCTAATTAATTTCTCCACTTTTTCTCTCTCGCCAGGGCTTCTAATACCAAAATAAATAATAATGGTGATAGGGGATATCCTTGTCTTGTCCCCTTCGTTATTTTACACTTTTCTTTTATAACCTTATTAACAATCAGCATAGACTGTTGGTAAAAATAAATTGCATCAATTCCTCTCCCAAATGCTTCCCCAAAATTCATTTTTTCTTTTATCTTTTTCATAAAAGCCCATGAAACATTATCAAAAGCCTTTTCAGCATCAATAAACATTAAGACAGCTTTTTTCTCATTTCTTACTTCCAAATATTCAATAATATCAATTATATTCCTTATATTCTCCTTCATCTGACGTCCTGGTAGAAAGCAGGCCTGCTTGTCATGAATTTTTTCTGCTAAAACACCTTTCATTCTATTGCCCAATATATGAGCAATACTCTAAATGGACTTCTATCCTACAGGAGTGATGGCCAACAACTTGGATAGCTTGAAAAGAGGATTAGACTGAAAGCAGAGGAAGGCAGGGGGCTCTTGTACTCAAATCCTGCTTGCTGGTTTCCCGCAGGCATTTAGTTGACAACTGTGAGAACAGGATGCTGGACTACGTGGGCCTTTGCCCAAATGAGCAGGCTCTTCTTATATTCTAATACAGGCATCCCCAAACTTGGCCCTCCATATGTTTTGGGACTTGGCCTTCAAGATGTTTTTGGGACTACAACTCCCATCATCCGTAGCTAACAGGACCAGTGGTCAGGGATGATGGGAATTGTAGTCCCAAAACATCTGGAGGGCCAAGTTTGGGGGTGCCTGTTCTAATATATTGCAATATTTTAACAGTTACATGTGGCATAGTAACAAAAAGTTTTACTTCTTAGTCATAGGAGAGAGTGCTACTTGAGCCTGTGATCATTTCCTCCCTGGGAAAAGAGAAATACAGAGATGTGTCTAAGAAGCCAATTGCACCATAGATTATAAAATAATGCAGTTTATTAAGTGTGAATGGAGTTATTAAGTGTGAATCATGTGTTTTTCTTGCCATTATCTCACCTGCATTCCTAAAAGTTTGGAACATAGAGAGGACAGTGGAGAAAGGAGACGGTGTTAAAATAAGAGAAGGTGCATACTGGGATTGAAATGTGTTCAGTTCCTTTCTTGTCTTTCCTGAAAGTCTTAACAGGATTCTCTTCCCCCTCCCCCACTCCCAAACAGGTGAGGAAGATGATGGCCAGAATTCTATGGAGCCATCTGTGAATTCATTGGGAAGAACAAAGAAACAGTTTAAATGCATGGAATGTGGGATGTTCTTTAGTCACAGTGGAAGACTGAGGACACATCAACGAATTCACACAGGGGAGAAACCATTTAAATGTACTGACTATCGAAAGAGCTTCAGGGACAATGGAACACTTAGAAAACATCAACGAACTCACACAGGGGAGAAACCATTGGAATGTATTGAATGTGGAAAGAGCTTCAATGATAGTGGAAACCTTAGACAACATCAACAAACTCACACGGGGGAGACACCATTTAAATGTATTGAATGTGGAAAGTGCTTCAGTCAAAATGGAAAACTTAGAAGACATCAACGAACTCACACAGGGGAGAAACCATTTGAATGTATTGAATGTGGAAAGAGCTTCAATGATAGTGGAAACCTTAGACAATATCAACAAACTCACACGGAGACACCATTTAAATGTATTGAATGTGGAAAGTGCTTCAGTCAAAATGGAAAACTTAGAAGACATCAACGAACTCACACAGGGGAGAAACCATTTGAATGTATTGAATGTGGAAAGAGCTTCAATAATAGTGGAAACCTTAGACAACATCAACAAACTCACACGGGGGAGAAACCATTTAAATGTATTGAATGTGGAAAGTGCTTCAGTCAAAATGGAAAACTTAGAAGACATCAACGAACTCACACGGGGGAGACACCATTTAAATGTATTGAATGTGGAAAGAGCTACAGTCAATATGGAACACTTAGAATACACCAACGAACTCACATAGGGGAGACACCATTTGAATGTATTGAATGTGGAAAGAGCTTCAGTCGAAATGGAACACTTAGAATACACCAACGAACTCACACAGGGGAGAAACCATTTGAATGTATTGAATGTGGAAAGCGCTTTAGTCAATATGTACACCTTAGAAAACATCAACGAACTCACACGGGGGAGAAACCATTTAAATGTATTGAATGTGGAAAAAGCTTTAGTAGAAGTGACCACCTTAGAAGACACCAACGAACTCACATGGGGGAGAAACCATTTAAATGTATAGAATGTGGAAAGAGCTTCAGTCGATATGGAACACTTAGAATACACCAACAAACTCACACGGGGGAGAAACCATTTAAATGTATTGAATGTGGAAAAAGCTTCAGTCAAAATGGACACCTTAGGGAACATCAACGAACTCACATGGGGGAGAAACCATTTAAATGTATAGAATGTGGAAAGAGCTTCAGTCGATATGCACACCTTAGGGAACATCAACAAACTCACACGGGGGAGACACCATTTAAATGTATTGAATGTGGAAAGAGCTACAGTCAATATGGAACACTTAGAATACACCAACGAACTCACATAGGGGAGACACCATTTGAATGTATTGAATGTGGAAAAAGCTTCAGTCAAAATGGACACCTTAGGGAACATCAACGAACTCACACAGGGGATAAACCATTTAAATGTATTGAATGTGGAAAGAGCTTCAGTCAGAATGGAACACTTAGAAGACATCAACGAACTCACACAGGGGAGAAACCATTTGAATGTACTGAATGTGGAAAGAGCTTCAATGATAGTGGAAACCTTAGACAACATCAACAAACTCACACGGGGGAGAAACCATTTAAATGTATTGAATGTGGAAAGTGCTTCAGTCAAAATAGAAAACTTAGAGGACATCAACGAACTCACACGGGGGAGAAACCATTTAAATGTATTGAATGTGGAAAGAGCTTCAGTCAAAATGGACACCTTAGAATACACCAACGAACTCACACGGGGGAGAAACCATTTAAATGTATTGAATGTGGAAAAAGCTTCAGTCAAAATGGAACACTTCGAATACACCAACGAACTCACACAGGGGAGAAACCATTTGAATGTATTGAATGTGGAAAGAGCTTCAATGATAGTGGAAACCTTAGACAACATCAACAAACTCACACGGGGAGACACCATTTAAATGTATTGAATGTGGAAAGTGCTTCAGTCAAAATGGAAAACTTAGAAGACATCAACGAACTCACACGGGGGAGAAACCATTTAAATGTATTGAATGTGGAAAGAGCTTCAGTCAAAATGGAACACTTAGAATACACCAACGAACTCACATAGGGGAGACACCATTTGAATGTATTGAATGTGGAAAGAGCTTCAGTCCAAATGGAACACTTAGAATAGACCAACGAACTCACACAGGGGAGAAACCATTTAAATGTATTGAATGTGGAAAGAGCTTCAGTCAAAATGGAACACTTAGAATACACCAACGAACTCACATAGGGGAGACACCATTTGAATGTATTGAATGTGGAAAGAGCTTCAGTCCAAATGGAACACTTAGAATAGACCAACGAACTCACACAGGGGAGAAACCATTTAAATGTATTGAATGTGGAAAGAGCTTCAGTGGAAGTGGAGACCTTAGAAAACATCAACAAACTCACACAGGGGAGAAACCATTTGAATGTATTGAATGTGGAAAGCGCTTTAGTCAATATGTACACCTTAGAAAACATCAATGAACTCACACGGGGGAGAAACCATTTAAATGTATTAAATGTGGAAATAGCTTTAGTAGAAGTGAGCACCTTAGAATACACGAAGGAACTCACACGGGGGAGAAACCATTTAAATGTATTGAATGTGGAAAGTGCTTCAGTCAAAATGGAACACTTAGATTACACCAACGAACTCACACGGGGTGGAAACCATTTAAATGTATTGAATGTGGAAAGAGCTTCAGTCGATATGGACACCTTAGAAGACACCAACGAACTCACATGGGGGAGAAACCATTTAAATGTACTGAATATGGAAAGAGCTTCCATCCATATAGACACCTTATAGGACACCAACTAACACATGGGGAAGAAACAATTTTAATGTATGGCATGTGGAAGGAGCTGCAGCAAAAGTAGAGCACTTAGAATACACCAACTAACTCATACAGGGGAGAAACCATTGGAACATATTGAATGTGGGAAGAGCTTTAACAGGAAGGATAAACGTACATTACATTGGCGAACTCCCACAGGGGAGAAGCTTAAGTCAATATGGAAGCTTAGGAAACATCCGCTGACTCACATGGGGAAACCAGATTTATGCAACGTGGAAAGAGCTTCAGAGGGAGTGAAGACCTTACTATCCATAAGAAAATTCACACAGGCAGAAAACCATATAAATGTATGGAGTTTTCCACTCAGGTTTTACCAGATTTCCTGGGAAGTGAAGATTACTGTCAAGTCTTTGGATGTACAGAAAAGAATTTGGCAGTGTTTGTTTTCAATAATAATAATAGCAACAGCAACAATAATAACAATAATATAATTTATACCACACCCATCTGGCTGGATTTCCCCCGCGGCACAGCCACTCTTGGTGGCTTCCAACAGATTTCCTGGGAATTGAAGATGATTGTCAAGTCTCTGGATGTACAGAAAAGAATTTCAATAATAATAATATTTTTATTTGTACCACGCCCATCTGGCTGGATTTCCCCCGCCAATCTTGGTGGCTTCCAACAAAATATTGAAATACAATAGTCCTTCAGATATTAAAAGCTTCCCTAAACAGGGCAGCCTTCAGATGTCTTTTAAAGTCTGGTGGCTGTTTTTTCCTTTGACATCTGGTGGAAGGGCGTTCCCCAGGGTGGGTGCCACTACCAAGAAGGCCCTCTGCCTGGTTCCCTGTAACTTCGCTTCTCCCCGTGAGGGAACCGCCAGAAGGCTCTTGGTACTGGACCTCCAAGTCCAGGCAGATCGATGGGGGTGGAGACTCTCCTCCCGTCACCAGTCTAGCTGCCGCATTCTGGATTAGTTGTTGTTTCCGGATGACCTTCAAAGGTAGCCCCACGTAGAGCGCATTGCAGTACTCTAAGCGGGAGATAACTGGAGCATGCACTACTCTGGCAAGACAGTCTGCGGGCAGATAGGGTCTCAACCTGCGTACCAGATGGAGCTGGTAAACAGCTGCCCTGGACACAGAATTGACCTGTGCCTCCATGGACAGCTGTGAGTCCAAAATGACTCCCAGTCTGCGCACCTGGTCCTTTAGGGGCACAGTTACCCCAATCAGCACCAGGGAGTCCTCCACACCTGCCTGCCCCCCAAAACAGGACACCTGCCGTATCAGCATTCAACTTTAATATGTTAGCTGCCATCCATCCTCCAACCGCCTCCAGACACTCACACAGGACTTCCACCATCTTCACTGGTTCTGATTTGAAAGAGAGGTCGAGCTGGGTATCCGCATACTGATGAACACCCAGCCCAAACCCCCTGATCTCTCCCAGCGGCTTCATATGGATGTTGAAAAGCATGGGGAGAGGACGGAACCCTGAGGCACCCCAGAAGTGAGAGCTCAGGGGTCTGAACACTCAACCCCCAACACCACTTTCTGAACACGGCCCAGTGTATAACAGTGCCTCTAGCTCCCAGCCCCTCTAGATGGTCCAGAAGAATGTTATGGTCGATGGTGTCAAAGCCTCTGAAAGATCCAGCAGAACTAGGAAACAGCTCTCACCTTTGTCCCTAGCCTGCCGGAGATCATCGACCAGTGTGCCCCGGTCTGTTTCAGTCGCATGATGTGGCCTGAATCCCAACTGGAAGAGATCCAAATGGTCCACATCTTCCAGGCTTCCCTGGAGTTGTTCAGCAACCACCCACTCAATCACCTTGCAAAAGAATGGAAGATTTGAGACTGGGCGATAGTTGGCCTTATTGGCTGGGTCTAAAGATTATTTTTTTTTAAGAAGCAGTTTAATACAGTGGTTCCTCGGGTTACATATGCTTCAGGTTACATACTCCGCTAACCCAGAAATATTATCTCGGGTTAAGAACTTTGCTTCAGGATGAGAACAGAAATCGTACAGCGGCAGCAGGAGGCTCGATTAGCTAAAGTGGTGCTTCAGGTTAAGAACAGTTTCACGTTAAGAACAGACCTCCAGAACGAATTAAGTTCTTAACCAGAGGTACCACTGTAACTGCCTCTTTGAGTGTGTCTGGGAAGGCTCCCTCACAGAGAGAAGCATTCACCACCCCACGGAGCCCATCGCCCAGCCCTTCCCGGCTAGCTTTTATGAGCCAGGATGGGCAAGGATCAAGGAGACAGGTGGTTGGTTTCACTCATCCAAACACCCTGTCCACATCCTCAGAGGTAACAGTTGGAATTGATCCCACGCAACTTGACTAGACAGGACTCTAGCACTCACCAGCCCCTGCCCTGCTCCCACGGGGGAGTCTACCTCTCTGAATCTGAGTGACTTTATCTGCAAAAAATCTTTGCAAAATCATTGCAGGAGATCATGTGGCCCGTACGGGGCCCCATTGGAGAGTTGGTTGCATTAAATTGCAAACCACCTGAAAGAGTCTCCTGCTGCTGTTTTCTGCAGATGCAATAGAGGGGGTGAAGAAGGTTTTCTTCACCTTCGCTATCGCCATTTGGTAGGCTCAACGTTGAGCTCTAACCTGTGTCCGGTCAGATTCAGAATGAGGTTTCTGCCACTGGTGCTCTAGCCGTCTCGTTGCCCTCAGATCCATGGAAAACCACGGGGCTGTCCGGGCTACATGCAATCGGAGAGGGCGCTTCAGAACCAGACAGCCAATAGCCCTGGTTAACTCCACATTCCAACGGGCCACTAGGGAATCAGCTGAAAGGCCATCAGCATGGGATAAAACATCACCTACCACTCTCTGGAAACCATTTGGATCCAATAAGTGGCCTGGGCGGACCATACAAATCAGTCTCACGTCCCTGCAGAGGGGAAGGGTTGTGGTGAAGTCCAGTTGCACCAGGAAGTGATCTGACCATGGCACTTCTTTAGATTTGCTTTTACTTAGTGGCAGATCACCAACAGGTTAGCACAAGGTCTAAGGCATGTCCGTGGCTATGAGTTGGGCCAAACTTACTCAGGGACAGCCCCATGGAGGCCATGCTTTCCACAAAGTCCCAATCAGCCCCTTGTAAGGTTGTGTCGGTGTGAATGTTATAATTCCCCAGGACAACCAAACTAGGTGTCTCCAGGAGAACATCTGCCACAACCTGAAGCAGTTCGGGCAGGGAATCCTTGGTGCAGCGGGGAGATTGGTACAAAGGAATCCTGTACTGCCCCTATTGTTCAACTTCAAGAATATGCACTCAGAGAACTGGGTCTTCCCAATAGGACAGCTGGTGCAAATTAATGACTTCCTACAAATCACTGCAAACCACCACCCCCTCCCTGCCCACATGACTTGGGTTGCTGTGCGTAAGAGAAACCTGGTGGACAAGCAGCGGCAAGGACAGGTCCATTACTGCATACAAAAATATTCTTTTGTTTCTTTTGGGATGTCTGTTGTTAATAGGCCCAAAAAAAAACATTTCTGGTTTTTTGGGGAAAGTATGTCGTAACATTTTATTTAATTCTTCATTAATGGTATCCCAAATTTATTTAATTTTAGGGCACGTCCACCACATATGGGAGAAATTCCCTTCTTTAAGTTTGCACCTCCAACACCTTCCACTGGTGTTTTGGTTCATTTTAGCCAATTTTGAGGGTTTAAGATACCATCTGTACATCATTTTTTAAAAATAATTATTTTATTGTATAACATGCTGTAAATCTTATGTCTCTTTTCCATAAGTTTTCCTATTTTTCTAAATCAATTGTATGACCGAAATCTTGTGCCCATTTGACCATGACATCTTTAACCCCTTTGTCTTTTAAGTGCCAATTTAATAATAGTTTATACATTTTGGATAAATACAATTTGGATAATTTTTTATCATTTATAATCAATTCTTTGTCTATTTCAAATAATTTTGTATCAAATCCATTTTCTTTCTTGTCTTCCTCAAAAATTGCATTTAATTGATGGTATTGAAACCAGCCTAGTCCTGTATGTCTTATTGTTTCATTTTCCCCCCGATTTGGAATCTATTATTTACTTCCTCTAAAAGATCTTTATACGTCAACCAATTTGAATCCATAATTTTTCTTTTTACTGCCTCTGCCTCCATTGGTGACAACCACCATCAGGTTTGTGGTTCTAATAATTTTTTGTTCCTTTCCCAAACTTCATATAAGGCTTTCCTAATAATGTGATTTAGAAATACATTGTGGATTTTTGTTTTATTATAACCCAGGTAGCTGTGCCACCCCACTATATTATCCCAGCCCTCAATATCCAATAATTTAGTATTCTTCAAGATCATTTCTTGAGCCAGACCAGGCAGGCAGCTTCGTAGTAGATCCTAAAATCTGGCATTCCAAATGCTCCTTTGTTTTTGGTTTCTGTTAATAATTTAAATTTAATTCTGTGTTTTTTGTGTTGTTGTTTTTTGCCCTGACAAATGTATTTTGCCAAATACCTGTGCCATTCTTAAAAACAATTTAAGCCATTAAGAACCAGAATTGATTGAAAAAGGAACAGCATTTTTGGTAAAACTACCATCTTGATTGTAGAAATTCTTCCCCACAACGTGAGTTTTAATTTACTCCAGATTTCTAAGTCTTTCCTAATATTGTTCCATACCTTAATATAAATGTCTTTCTATAAATTAATGTTTTTCATGGTTATCCAAATTCCTAAATACTTTGCTCTGTTAGTAATTTTAAGTCCTGTTTCTATTTCTAACTTTACTTTTTCTTCTATATCTAATTTTTTTACCAGTTTTGTTTTTTCTTTATTAATTTTGAATCATGATAATTGTCCAAACGCTTTTCTTCTTTTCTTTTCTTTTCTTTTTTTATAATAATTTTTATTGGTTTTCTTTCTTACAACAAATATCCATCACCATCACTCAAAATTCCTTTATCTCATCATAGTCTTTCAATTTTAACTTTCCTTCTTGTTCTATTAGTAATTCTCTTTATGTTGGCCATATTCCTTTCATTGCTGACGTATTAAGTGATAGTGCTTCAATGGGTGATAGCCACCATGGAGTTTGGGGTTCCAACAATTCTTTGTATTTTCCTCATACCTTTATTAAAAACTTATTATTGTATTGTGGAGTCCTTTGTGTACATTTGTTTTCCCATACCACAAATATGCATGCCAACCAAATCTGTTGTCATGTCCTTCCAGTTCTATTGCCTCTTCTTTCTCCAATTTAATCCAATCCCGAATCCGAGTAAGACAAGCTGCTTCATAGTAAATTTTGAGATCTTTAAGGGAAAAGCCTCCCCTTTCTTTTAAGTCTGTATTTTGTATTTTATTCTTCACCTTGTTTTTTCCAATATTACTACAATATTACTCTAAAGCAGCCTTTTTCAATCTGTGGGCCCCCAGATGTTACTAGCAAGGCCAGAGCTCAGGGATGATGGGAGTT